GAGAGATTCCAGAAGAGCAAGTGGCTAATCTCATGCAAACCAAGGATGCTTTAGCTCCTTGTGACGTCGCAGCGTTCGTGTATGACAGGTAAGATTCAATGGATTACTTCTTCTCTCTTCGCTGACAAGATGATGTGATCAGCTCCGATGATGCCTCCTGGGAACGTGCCTCGGAGATTCTTGTAAAGGTGACGGCGCTTGGCGAGCACAGTGGATATGAAGTTCCCTGTCTTCTCATAGCGGCTAAAGACGACCTGGAGCCAGATCCTCTTGCCATCCAAAACTCTGCTCGGGTATGCCATTTAAGTTTCTTGTCTTTGGTGCTCCGGGCAGTCCTCAACTTTTTAAGTTTGTATATATCTGTTTGCTCGTGCGTTTCCGCAGGTGTGCACAGACATGGGCGTGGAAGCTCCAATCGCAGTGAGCATGCGGCTGGGAGACATTGGCAACTTGTTCCGCCGGATCGTGGACGCTGCGGAGCGTCCGCATCTGAGCATCCCCGAGACGGAGGCTGGCAAGAGCCACAAGAGCTTCAACCGTATAGTCAATCGCTCGCTCACCATAACTGCAGGCAAGCGAGAGATCTTATCTTTCTCCTTAAGTTCCTCTTTTTTTTTTTAGTTCCTTCTCCTCTTGTCAATCGTAACGCTTGCTTTGTCCTTGCGCAGTCGGGGCAGCACTGGTGTTCGTTGGAATCGCCGCATATAAAACTTACGAGTACAGGAGGAGATCTTCGTCGAGTTGATCGTGATATGCTCACCGAAAAAGATGATATATCAGTGAATCACGAGAATATATATTCTTTTGAGGAGCGTTGTTTTTCAAAGGCCCGGGGACTCGATGATAACGGGAACAGAGGTAGACAAAAGTTTCTATACAAAAGTTTTTGCAGTTTACTGCCTCTTTTTTATGCAAAATTGGACATTTTTTTCTTCTTGCATTGTTTTCTATGGTTTTCTATGGTTTGCTGTTCTTGTAGCCTGTTTAGTCGTCTTCCTTGCAGCTCTCGGGACTACTCGGTTCTTCCGCATCTACCATTCCCAAGATCTCGTCAATAAACTCATCCTCCATCTCAATGCTTGGGAACCTCTCAATCTCATCACCACCACCGACACCACCGACACCACCACCGACACCACCACCGCCACTGTTTGCTGCCACTGGAGCTCCCACACTGACTGTAGGCTTCGTCACCTTCCTCTTCTTCACGCAAGCTCTCGATCCAGGACGCTGCTGCTCGACCGGAGGAGCGTCCTTGGAGGAGTCCGAGACGGTGGAAGCCCCGCTCAGGCAGTCATCTTCGAGCTTGCTCGACGTGGTGGTCGTGGTTGTCTCTGCCGCTGGTGTCACTGGCCTGGCAGCGAACTTCTTCGCACAGATGATCTGGCGGCCGGGACCAAGTTAGACACGACAGAAAACTCTGGTTTTGCAAAACGAAAGCAAAGCCTACATGTTTTCCAGTCTTTGCGTCTCGATATATTTGTATCAAGTCGCCCTCTTTGAGCAGATGCGACTTGACGTAGTCACCTGCTCATGCAATCGAAAGCCCAATTAAACAACTGCCTGGAGAGAGAACGAACGGGCTTTGATGGTACCTGTGCCCTCCAGAAGATACATGCGACTCTTGTTGTTAGGCCAAAATCTGCACAGGCACGAAACAAAAGGAGTGTTAACGTCAAAGCCAGTAAGTGAAGGTTAGAAAAAAGCTACACTGCACTACAATACACTCCTGTCAACAAAGAACTCTAAGACGATGAGATCTAAACTCTTTACTTAGCTTATCTCAATCACACTACCTGCGCCTCTAGATCTCGAGCATAACTCTCCTTAACCTTCCGGACGACGGTTATATGATTAGTGAACTTATCCTAGCATATAGCATGGCTGTACTACATGGCGAGAAAATGGGAGACAGAACGTAAACATCAACCATCACCATCATCATCGTCTGCAGCGTAAGCAGAAAACTTAGAAATTCTATAGTCACCACTGGTACCTGTAGCGAAAGTGCCACGTCTGGGCTGTCAGTACATCCTCCATCGCCAGCATGATGCCTTCCCTCAAGCTTAAATACGGCAAATGGATCTCGGCTTCCTTCTGCCAAAGCAAGAAAAAAAGAGCAAACTTTAAACGCGTTAGAATTAGCTCTAGAAGAGATCCGATCACACCACACCGCCTCACAGACAAAGAAGAGATGCAATCACGGCAAAAAAATCAACAAACAAGGAAAAAAAAAAGGATAGAATGGGAAGAAAAGTGAAAGTTGTCACAGCAACCGAGTGAGGTGTCAAGAGTTCCGTTGTTTATTATAAATAAGAATCTGTCTCCCTGGCCCAGCCTTCTCCATCTTTCACTTTTGCGTTCTTTTGTATGCGTATAAAAAGAGGATGGCAAAAGGACCAATCGAAGATAGGCAGGTATTGGAAGACAGGTAGTGGTGGTGGTGGTCATTAGAAGACCAAAATCCAACTTGAGTGGTCTCAGGCCTTGTTCTCAGTGTCCTGTTACAAATGAATCAACAGCCAGCTCAATGAAAAGCACAATCAGCTTGAAAGCGCACACACAGTACACCATACATACACACACCCACACACACACCGCATAAAGAATGGTGGTTGGAGAAAGATCAAAGGAGGATGAAGCATAAAACAAATTCAAGCTTAAGAACTACAACAGTACCTTTGGCAAGACGATCCGTCCCAAATTCCCCACATCACTGGGCTTGAGCTCCTTTTGCAGTAAGAACTTGACGCTCTTATCGCAACTCATTCGTGCCTGGATTGAAAAAAAAAAACGTTCAAATAGTTGAAAACAGGACCAAGACAAAAAAAAAAACAAACAAAAAAAGAAAAAAAAAACTCAGTGTCTCGAGCCCAAGTAGCATGCAAAGAAGAATTGGGAATTTCACACAACCCACCTTGATCCCATCGCGACAAGTACCGAATTGATGTTGATGCTGCTCACGAGCACCCGGAGCCCCATGAGTCGTTGCCAGAGATAGTGACGAATTCGAAGTGGTGGTCGTGGTGATCGTCGCCGCCGTCGCCGTGGTGGCTAAAAATCCCGCCGTGGAGGCCGAGGACCAAGCTCCAGCGCTGGTGGCCACCGGCGAATGCGAAAGGCTAGTGCCCCCAAACCCACCTTTGTGGCGGCGCTGGCGAGCCATTCTACTCTTTCGAGCCGCCCGAGTGGTGGCCGCCGCGGACGCCGAGTTGGCGATCGGAGCCGTCGCCATTGATCGCGGAGTAGCAACGTCCGCGGCGGTGGTGGTAGCATCCGGATACGCCGAGGAGAAGTGCTGGCCGGGGACAACGTTGGGGTCCCCGTAGAACTGGCCACCACCACCACCACCAGTCGAGGTGGCCTCGCCACCAAATCCACCAGCCACTGGAAATCCCGGGTGCTGGAAATGCTGCTGCTGCTGCTGCTGCTGGTTGTGGACGGGCACGTCCATGAAGCCACCGAAATTCTCGAACGGCAGCGAGAAACCATCCATCGATCCACCACCGCCCTGCTGCTGCTGATGCTTCAACCACACCTGGATGATGTTCCACAGTCTCATAGCTCCCCGCCGCCCGCCGCCCAGGCGCTCCACCGCCTTGTCCATGACCGGCTTCTTCACGATGATCTTCCGGAGATCAGGGGCAAACTGGTGGCCGGATCTGGCCTCGGTGAGCGGCGGGAGGAGCTGCTGCTCGGCCTGCCGCTGCCGCTCCTCGTCGTGCTGCTGCTGCCTATCGCCGAAGAAATCGTCGGGGATATTAAGCTCGAGCGTTTCTTGATTGGCGCAGGAATCCGGAAAGGTCGAGGAGCAGCTGGAACTGGATCGACAGAAGATCATCTCGTCCTCGTGCTGCTTGTGCTCGAATTGCTCGCAGCAATCTTGGGCGTGCATGCCGGAATCCTCCGGGCTGGTGGAATCCCCGTCGAGCGGCACCTCGGGCAGCATCATCATACAGTCAATAGCGCCATCGTCGTCCCTAATCCATGCATCCAGCTCCAAACAGCTGATCGCCGCCGCCGCCTCCGTGCTCTCGCCTCCTACATTCCCCGCCGCCGCTACCGCCCCCTGGGATTCCTGCGAAGACGATCTTTCCTCCCCCTCGCTGCCGTTGCCACCGCCGCCGCTGCTGCTGCTGTTGCCGTTGCAAGGAATCATAATAATCTTCTTTGAAGATCCAAGAACAGGCCGCGCGGCCCGGCGCGACGCGACCGCTGGAACTGGTAGAGCGGAGCAAAGAAGACGCTAGAAAACTCTAGAGCGCGCCGCGAGCGAGCGAGCGATCGATCGATTGATCGAGAAACACAAAATATTCCCTAGGGTAGGCTCCAGCGCCTCAAAGAGGAGAAAGGGATCACGATGAGGACGAGCGCCAGAAGAGATTTTGGGGAGCAAAGAAAGATGCCAAATCCAGCGAAAAAAAAAAGAAGAGAAAACTGGGAAGCCTTCTATTCAGGGAAAATTAGGGCGGGGGTTAGAGGGTCTTTCCGCTAAATCTGGCCCCTCGCCCCGCTGGCTAATCTAGTAAAACTGTTAGTTGGGACAGTGGCGACGCTGCTGGATGTGCGACGCGTGTCGCGCCCAAAGGCCAACGTCGTGGGTGAGCCCCTTGTCCGAGCCAAGCGTAGCACGTGTCGCCCCCGCTGCGGCGCCCCGGTTGCGGCGCATCGGTAGCCGTTCTTTTGGCTTTCAACGGGCGCCAACGTGTCCGCCCTAGATTCCACGATGCCCATCTCTCCTAGGGCTAAATAGTTCCTTTCACCCCCCCTTTCCAACGCGGGCATATAGCGAATAGGAACAAGGCAGCTCGCGCGTCTCGTAGTGTGTAAAATCCGCGCTGGAGATATCCGAAAGATTTGGCATGAGGCTTGGTGTCATCATTGTTGCCTCCAAAGTATTCGCCATTCAAACATCTTTGGCAAGCCCCCGTGGCCTAGTGGGGCTGACGTAGCCCACCAGGTGGCGGATCTCCGGCGGGATATACCGGGTTAGTCATAAAAAAAGATAACCGTGGGGGGTTTTATTAGGCTAGTCCGCGATTTGCTTTCCCTTTCTCATTCTTTCCAGCTCTGCTTCTAACTGAGAGATTCGCTCGCGCAGTCTCAAAGTGGCCGCTTCGATTGATTCGTCTTGTAACTCCGACGCTGATGCCGCCGCTGGCTTGTATGGTGTCATTAAATTCGCAGCGAATTTCTTGAGGGCAGTGACACCGCGAACCTGCCAGAAACCAAAAAAAATCTTAGCTTGCTAACATCAGCGTTTTTTTCTCACCTCCTCCGGTAGCAGCGGCAAGAGTGTCAAGTTGAAATCCTCGTAGAGCTCGTAAAACTGGTCCAGATACTTTTGCTGCATTTTCAACCTCGCTTTCAAGAGCTTCGAGTCGGAGGCTGCAAAAAAAGTCCATAAGTCAGCGAGATGAGAGTCTGAATCGGTGTGGCCCTCACCTTCTTCTGGAAACAGAACTTGGTTTATGATGATGTTGTGAGTGTCAATCTCAAACCTCGCGAGCTCCTGGACTAATCTCTCGGTCTCGTACAGTGACAAAAACTCTGGGATGCAAACGCATAAGAAGGTTGTCAAATCCTGCAGCAGTCGAGTTGCTGTTGTTTGATGTCTAGATAAAATAGAGACTAAAGGAAAAAAAACAGAGCTTTTGCTTTATTTACCGGGTCGCGGAACTGTTCGTTCACTTGCTCAATCACGCTCTTCATGGCCTCGAGTTTTCCCATGATAGCATCTTCTCGAAACTCGTCACCCAGACCAAATAGACGCGAAACCTGTAAAACCGTGAAACGTGAGGGAAATAGACTTTTTTTCTTCGCAAGTACCTGACTGATCATGCCACCAAACTTGTTCTTTAGGCTCATCATTTTTCCCAAGCACTTCTCTAGCGTCGAAGGAAACTGGAGTAATCGTAGTGTGTGTCCTGTGGGAGCTGTGTCGAAAACAATCACCGAATAGTCCATGGTTTTGACAAGCCTAGATCATCAAAGAATAGAGAGAAAGACTGAGGACCATGAAGAAAAAAATAGAGAGCTTACTTTAGCATCTCAGCAAAGCTCACTGCTTCGTCAATGCCGGGGATGGCATTCGTAAGTTCCGAAAGAAATCCTCCCATTCCCTCGAAAGCATCCAACTCGTCGCCTTCCATGCTGGGATCCACTTCCTGATCAATCCATTAGAAGGAGACCAAGACAATGATCCAGCAAAGAAACATTCTAACAAAGAAGCCACGAAGAACACAAAAAACATATAGCAAAGAAGAACGCAGCAGCATACCAGCGCAGATCAGAGATTCTCGGGAGCGAACCATTGCGAAGAGATTGGAGAAGCCATCGACGAGCGTTGGCGTGCGCGTAAATTTCTGCTGGAACGCATCGCTGAGGTTGTGCGCCGGATCCGTGGAGATGATCAACACCGAGGGCCGGATTTCGGCGAGCAGGATCGCGAGCATGGAGCTACACGTCGTCTTGCCGACGCCGCCCTTACCACCGACGAAGATCCATTTGAGCTGCTCTTGATCCAGGACATTGCGCACGCTCCCCTCCAGCGGTGTCCCCATTCCACTGATAAACCCTAAAATCCAGGAGGACGAACTTAGGGTTTTTTACTTAGCATGCGAGAAGCGCGATGAAGCGCTGCTTCGCGATTCTTCTTCGATCGCATCTGTGAGTGGAAATTTCACGCATTTTTCTTGTGGTCGATCGATCGATTGGAATTTTTCGCAGATGGAGCAGAGCCGTGGCGAAGATCCAGAGCTGCATCGATAAGTCCGTTCAAGCGGCAGGGCCGACCTACATTTTTCTTGCGTTCTTCCTTATGAGGTATGGCGATATTTCTTTGGTTTTCCTCTGCGCGATCCGTGATCCGAGCGTCCAGCTCCGTGATTTACTTGTTTTTTACCACGATTCTTCCCACTCTACACAATATGTACTCGTTGAGAGCACTGCTACACGCCGCGATCGCCTGTTGGCTCCTCCTAAACGTTTTCTTCAACTATTTCTACTGTATCTTCACTGATCCTGGCAGCCCTCCAGCAGATTTTCTTGTGAGTTTTTGTGTTTGGTTTTTCTATCTTGGTGCTCACTATAGGCCCTCCTTTCTCGCAGGACAGTGGAACAAGATGGTGCAAGCATTGTCCGTTTGCTCCTTTCTTTCGTTCTTCTAAAGACTAAAGTTTTCCTTGCTTTGCAGGCCACAAGAACAAACCTGCGTTTACTCACCACTGCCATATTTGCAAGAGGTAAGAAAGCGTCCTTTCAACTTGATTTTCTTACTCGAAGTCTCAATTCTAGGTGCATTTTAAGAATGGATCATCACTGCCGTATCCTTTTTTTCTATGTTTCTGTGCTCAAGTATTCTGTTTTCGTTTCTTTGACGTAGCTTGCAGCGTGGATGCACAACTGCGTTGGTTTTTACAACTACAGATTTTTCTTTGTATTTTGTAAGTATGATACTTGTTCTCGGAGCTGAGCGATAAGAACTGGGTGGGATGTTTTCGTGGCAGTGTTTTATCTCTGGATTGGGTGCGCCTATGCAGTATACATGTCTTCTCAGCTGCTATTCGCCGATGACTATGTACGTTTTCTCTCTCGTGAGTGAGAAAAATGAGATCTTGCGCTCCTAATCACTCTTTAACGAAATGCTTGCCTCGTGGCCAGAACGAGCAGGAGTGGCAACTGTTATTTACTTTCGTTCTCTCTTTCGGCATCTTTGGAGCCTTGTCTTGTCTCCTTGGATGGCACATCTTCCTTGTGGTGACCGCACAGGTATGTGTGCGTGTGGCGCATTTTCGTTTTAGCGAAACTGAACTGAAGTGGGGCGTGTCCATGACAGACTACCATTGACTTTTATGGGAATAGACAACGGAAGCTAGAAGCTAAGAGCAGAGGCAAGGTAAAAGACTAAACAGCATTCATTTTTCCAAGCTCTGACCAAACTTCCTCCGCAGGCCTGGGTGAACGTGTTTGATCTTGGCGCGGCTCACAACTTCCGCAACGTGTTCTACTCTGGCGGACGCCACCTCTGGTGGACAGTCATGCTGCTGCCAAGCAGGGCCAGGCCAGTCGGGGATGGCATCTCCTTCCGTACACGCTATCAGCTAGATGTGTAAGCGGCCGGGCATTTAAAGCTACTGACTTATTGAACTCAGACCAGAGCCAAGTGTGGGTTCTTCTCGGGAGGAGCCAGAAGATGAAGAACAAGCTCGTATTGACTTTGTGTCAGCAAATGGGCCATTTTTCTAACATGGTGCATGTGACGTGAAGAAAGGACTGAAGGAAACAATTGGCCGAGCAGTGGAAAAGCCGTAACATTCTGCGGAAGAGGAAAAAACTATTGACATATACTGCTTGATCAAGTCGAGGCAGCAAGCAGCAGTGTTGGTGATCTGGGAAAAGAGATGGTTTTGAGGGGAAGCAGCATTCATACCAAGCTGGATTTTTGGCATTTCCTAGATAGAGCAGCAGCTAGACGGGGGTACTGGATCCAACAGCTTGCAACTTGCTTCCGACGCTGCAACAGTGCTTGCCAGCCAGCCGGCGGAAAGATTTTTCTTTCCGTTTCCTATATTGCTCCGCTCGCTGCCAAGGTCAAGGCATCATCCATCCACTTGGTAAGTAACGTCCTTGTTTTCTTTCCCTTGTCTCACTAACGAGTCAAATGTTTTTTGTTGAGCAGGGATGATCAGACACAGATACTGTCAAGTATTATCTCCAGAATCAGCGACAGCGATTAGGTGCTTCGTGTTTCCAGGCTTTGCAAACCACGCAGCATCGCGCCACTCTCTTGGTGTGGTTCTTGAAATTGGGAAAGTTCCGAAGCATTTAAGTGCTCGAGGGGTCCATCTCTCATCCGGCTATCAACTGATGCAGCTGACTGCGACAGTAGAGGAGCTCGTTTGCACAACACGAAGCTGAGGGCCGGAATCGATGTTATCGTATCGGGTGCTATCATCTTTCCCGGATCTGGACCAGCATTGGTCTTGAGGGGCTCATAGCTAGCTCAGGAACAGGATGGGTGAAGATGGGGGAAAGTTCTCGAGTTTTGCAATGGAACAGGAACCCGAGGTCTCTTCGCTGCCTTCCACTCCTCAGAACAACCACAGCATTCCGCCATCTGTTGCCCGTTCTCCGAGGAGAATGATGCTGTCACCGATGGGAACTCCAATGCGCAAAGCTTTCGGCAACATGAAGTGCTACCTGGAAGAAATCGGGCATATTGCAAAACTTAATCCGCAAGACGCATGGCTGCCTATCACCGAGTCTCGAAATGGCAATGCCTACTACTCGGCCTTCCACAATCTCAACGCTGGGATTGGTTTTCAGTGCCTCCTCCTGCCTGTGGCTTTCAGTTTCCTCGGCTGGTAATGTTTTGTCTATCGTGGTGTAAATATCAACTTTGCACATGTTTTCTTCTTCACAGGTTTTGGGGAGTTTTAGCGCTGGTGGTAGCGTTCTTGTGGCAGCTCTACACTCTCTGGATTCTCATCAAGCTGCACGAAGTCATACCTGGGAGACGATACAATCGCTACATCGAGCTGGCCCAAGCAGCTTTTGGTACGCTTCTTTTTTTTCTTTGATTCGTTTCATCGAAAGTCCGTGACTTTCACGTTCTCAGGGGAAAGATTGGGATCATGGCTTACTTCATTCCCGATTATAAGCTTATCAGCTGGAACAGCCGGCGGTCTAATCGCCATCGGTGGTAGCACACTGCATCTCTTCTACAACTTGGTTTGCATCAAATGCCATGGACAAAGCTTGACAGCCATCGAGTGGTACCTGGTTTTTGCAGTCTTGTGCGCGATTATAGCACAGCTGCCCAACCTCAACTCGGTCGCAGGAGTTTCTCTCATTGGAGCAGTCATGGCAGTAGCTTACTCGACGATGATATGGATCTTGTCAGTTACACGGGATAGACCACCCGGTGTTAGCTACGACGTTGCGAAGCCATACTCGTCGGTTGGAGCAGCATTCTCCTTCTTGAATGCTCTAGGAGTGATTGCATTCGCCTTTCGGGGCCATAATCTGGCTCTCGAGATCCAGGTAGAGTTTTTTTATTTGCATTCCTTTTGTCTAACAAGAGTTATTCTCTTCTCTTCCAGGCAACCATGCCTTCGACTCTCAAGCACCCGGCCTACGTTCCCATGTGGAGAGGTAGCAAGGCAGCGTATACTCTCGTGGCGATTTGCTACTTCCCTCTCGCGATAGGAGGCTACTGGGCTTACGGAAAACTGGTAGCTTTCACTATTTTCATTAACATCCCGACTTACAAACTCGCCAAAACAGATGCTCCCGACTGGAATCCTCACCTCCATGTTTGTCTTCCATCGCTCGGACATATCTCCGGCGTGGCTCGCGACGTGTTTCCTCTTCGTCGTGGTGAGCTCTCTCAGCAACTTCCAGATTTACTCCATGCCAACGTTCGATCTCGTGGAGCAAACTTACACCGCGAACACCAACAAGCCGTGTCCCAAGCTTCATCGGTTTGTGTTTCGGCTGCTCTTTGTCTTCTTTGGCTTCTTCGTGGGGATTGCGTTCCCTTTTATGGCGAGCTTTGGAGGACTTTTGGGAGGAGTTTGCAGCGTTCCAGTCACATTTTGCTACCCGTGCTTCATGTGGCTCAAGATAAAAAAGCCACCGAAGTTGAGCTTCAGCTGGTACCTCAACTGGACGCTTGGAATCTTGAGTGTTGTCTTTACTATTGTGGTCACGATTGGAGGAATCTGGAGCATCGTGGACACTGGATTGAAGTTCCAGTTTTTCAAACCACAGTAGCACTGGGAGGGACAAGAGTGATAAAGGAAATCCATTTGCATCCATTTCATTGTGGCCTAATGCCCAAAAAATATGTAATAATACTTAAAGTTCTAAATGATTGGAAAACCTTTGAAGAGGAAGACACCGTTGTAGGGGTATCTATTCCGAAGCCTTCAGTTTTTTGAGGGCCTGTAGCAGCCAAAATCATGAACATCACTACTGCTGTATGATGAAGTTGTATTGGGATTAAAGGTTTTCGAAATTTAAGATCTATCCAATTTTGCAGTCTTGTGGTGTTACATGTTATATGCAGTAAAGTAATGCTTGGTTTGCTTAATAATAGATCCAAATGATCAATTAGAAGTTTATAATTTTAAATATGTTGAAAAGATTATTAAAAGTGAGTGTTAAAATGTAAAATGATTCATGCTATATATGTAATTGACTCTTTCATATTATCTTTTGAAAAATAAGTATGCTTCAAAATCTTTATAGCAAACCTTTGTACTCAAATGTTCTTACCACATATTATTCCAGCAAGCATTTGCTAAAAAAAGGTCTTTCCATGCTATTGCACAATTAATTTAGATTATGGGTTATGAAGTGAGTTGCTTATTGCTTGCTTGGTGGAAATGAACCTAAAACATTGTCATTCCTGCACTAAATAATCAATATCAGCTGAGTACAATAAGATAAGTACAATAAGTACTATAAGAAAACAGGGCAGATTAGCCTTTACTACCCGTTGTAAACTACCTCCCAAAAACTTATACAAATATTGCTACCCCATTTAAAGCTTCTGAAGTTAAAATATCAAATGCTACACTTGCATATTGAAAAGTTCTTGGCAAGATTTATGTAATTGTAAACTAACTTTGTGTCTCTCCAATTTCCTGATAGATCTTTTAAAATTTTAATCATTATGCTATGAGATATTTTCCATTGATGAGTTAGAAGTAAAGTAAACCATAGAAGGTAAAAAAGAAATTCAAATTTCAACAAAAAATCCTTGGAAGAGATTTCTCCTTAAAGACCTTAATGATGCTGAAGAGGTCTTTAAGTGAAAACTACTTTGAGATAAAATTGCAAATTGATTATAAAATAAGGATCAATTTTGTTACCTGAGGAAGATGATTTTCATTCACCTCCTCTTTTGCAATAAAAACAAAAAGGTTTGCATTTTAATATAAGAAACAAAGTGGAAGGTCTCCATCTTTGTTGCTGGAGTTAGCCCTATACTCAAAGAAAACCCTGGGGATTGTAGCAAAAGGAATTTGACACAAACAACTTGCAACGCCCCACTTAATATCTTATTAGTATTTTGTTTTGATGAACAGAAGTTTTTAATCCAGGGATCCCCACATTTTAGGGCGGCTCGTTCGTGGCGGGGGGCGGGCATGGACTTGGATCAGTGGATCGAGAAAGTGAAATCCGGGCAGCATCTACTCGAGGACGAGCTCAAGCAGCTGTGTGAATATGTGAGTGCCGCAATTCCTTGCTCTTGTTTCGCCTCTCGCCATGGATCCTTAGGGCCGGTTCCAGGTGAAGGAGATTTTGGTAGAGGAGTCCAATGTGCAGCCAGTAGACAGTCCAGTGACAGTGTGCGGCGATATTCACGGCCAGTTCCACGATTTGATGAAGCTCTTCCATACTGGTGGGCACGTCCCTCACACAAATTACATCTTTATGGTAAAATCGAGCTCTTTGAATCTAGTTGTTTCTTACATTGCTTCCATTGCTCTTCCTTTCCAGGGTGATTTCGTGGATCGTGGATATAACAGCCTCGAGGTTTTTACAATTCTTCTTCTTCTCAAAGCGAGGTTTGCAAATTCTTTTCTTTCCAAATCGGAAGACACAATGGGTCTGGTTTCTCAATAAGGTATCCTGCGCATATGACTCTCTTGAGAGGAAATCACGAGAGCAGACAAATTACGCAGGTGATTCTCGATTTTTTTAAAAAAAACTTTTGTTCTCCCCAACGAAAAGAATTATCTTTCTAACGCGTTGTTTGAGCTTCCAGGTGTATGGTTTCTATGATGAATGCGAGCGGAAGTATGGAAATCCAAACGCTTGGCGTTACTGCACTGACGTTTTCGATTATCTAACTATCTCTGCGATCATCGACGGCAGAGTAAGTCTTATCAAAAATTCTTTTTTCCTTTGTCGTGCATGACGTTGTACTCTCAGGTGCTCTGCGTGCACGGTGGTCTATCACCTGACGTGAGATCCATTGACCAGGTATCAAAGCTATTGACCTTTGAACTCCAGCTCTCATTCTTTTGGTTTTCTCTCTTTCAACCTTTGCAGATCAGAGTGATAGAGAGGCAATGCGAGATACCTCATGAAGGTCCATTTTGTGATCTCATGTGGAGCGATCCGGAGGACATTGAAGCGTGGGGAGTTAGCCCCCGTGGTGCCGGATGGCTATTTGGTGCACGGGTTACTTCCGAGGCAAGTGATAAACGAGCTGAGAAATCCTTATATGCTTCTGTCCGTCTCCTTTTTCCACAGTTTAATCACATCAATGGTCTGGAGCTGGTGTGCCGAGCACATCAACTAGTACAGGAGGGATTGAAGTACATGTTTCCAGATAAAAGCCTTGTCACGGTAACAAAGTTCTGTTCTAGACGAGACTAGCTTTCTTAACTTGCGGGTGTCGAAACCTTCAGGTTTGGTCAGCACCAAACTACTGCTACCGCTGTGGAAACGTGGCATCCATTCTAAGCTTTAACGACGTGATGGTGAGCGCTGCTCTTGTTTTGTCGATTTGAGCGAGCTGAGGTTTCTTTCTTTTTCTCTTCGAAGGAACGGGATGTGAAGTTCTTCACAGAGACCGAAGAGAACAGCGCGATGTTGGCACCCAGGGCCAGTGTTCCCTATTTTCTTTAGAACTGGCGCGTGTATTTTTTACACTACACAGGTGGGCTGTAAATTATTGGAATGGTCTATCTCTTTTGAGAGGGCGTTTTGTTTCCTCTTTTCTTGTTGAAAACCTTGTGCCATAACATAAGAGCCATTTAAATCATATATTTGATGAGGTTGTCCTAAACTTCTTAAGTAACCAATAGAAAAGATGATAAGATGGTTGCCAAGTTGTTTGTGCCATCCTCTTGCCACAATACCCCAGGGCTTTCGTTAAGCATCCATTTCTATGACTAGCTCAAGCAATCCAGGGGAGTACTTCCGCTTTTTTTCTTTTATTATAAAGTAGACATTTCTATATTGCTAAGGAGGAAGTAAATGAAAATCATCTTCCTAAGGTATCTAAATTGATCTTTATTTTCTACTAAAAAATTCTATCCCGCAGTTCAAAGACCTCTTCGAGAAAATCCCTTCTGAGGTTTCTATGCTGCTGAGACTGCATTACAGTTTCAAGGTTCAGTTGAATTTCATTTTCACCTTTTACTGTTCTGAGAGACGCAGTTTTTCCCAAGGTAGTATTCTTAGCTTCCAATTACTTGAATTTTCTAAGAATTTTTCAAAGTGCAGGTCTAACATTTGATATTTCAGCTCCCATAAAATTCTTCACGAAGTATGAGAGTTACATTGCTGGTTTCATATCACAAGTCCAGAAGTAAAGTCTTACAAAAAAAACAACTTCCAAAATAACATCTGGCATTAACTTTTTGCCAGTTTTTCTACGCGCATAATCTACACGTCGCGGCAGGCAGAAGGGGATGCCACCAACACCAGGGAGCCAGCGGCGCGTGCCCAATCTGTATGCTAGAAGTGGAGCCTACCTCCATTTTCCCATGCCGGACTTCTAACTCTCATCCTTTCTGGAAGATCCAGGAAGTCCGCCAGGTTCTTAAGAAACGCACGGCCATCCTGATCGCAACCAGTCCAGCGTAATCTGGTTTACGCCTGCCTAACCCCCGCCTTGCTTGGAAGAGTAGTCCGCCACCTTAGCGCTGCAGCGAACACACAGCATGGGACCTACATGCCGGTGACAGTTACAATTAAACACTTCTCCCGATGACACTGGAAGAACAAAAGCGCAAAGAAAAATGAGAGAAAATGCTCTGCTTTGCACAAAGATCAAGCGAGGCAACAAATTGCCAAAAATGAAAAGAATTTTCGATCAAAACACCAGCACAAATCGTCGTTGCCACTGCTGCCGAATGCACATATTTTACACCACCAAGGCTCCCTCGAAGATCTCCAGAAACCAACAAAACTAGAAGAGTAAAACACGACACCTGCAAAGAACACGGAGTGAGTACACAATGGGAAAACGATCCACCGCATCGAAGCTTACCAGTGCCTCAGAAGCTGCAACAGCTGGTGCCAGTTCCTAGACTCTCTGTCAAGCGTGTTTCTCTTGCTGTTCTTGTTAAGTTGTCAGCTTCGTCGTCTCCAAAAACTAAATCGTAGTTTGCGTTGCGCGCGAGCGTCATCGCATTCTTTTGCCAACGATCGATCCCTGCTCTACCATGGTTTCAAGTCTCCAGGAGGGCCGGAGCTCCAATTCAGAGCCTTCTCCCCTGGGTTGAGATATATCCTCCGGTCGTGCGGAAGCTTGCGAGCGAGCCCGTTGAGGATCTGATGGAACGCGTCCCCCGGTTGAGCCGGTTGAGGGAAGAGCATTGCCTGTTTCATGGCGGGTGTAGCTAGCAGCCGTTGCTTCTTGAGGATCACCTCTGGTGGAATGGACGTGAGGATGGTGTCCAGCTTCGGCACGTCCTTCTCTGCAACGAACACTCCAATCTCCTCCCACGGAATCGCGTCGGCAAACGGCAAGACTATGTCGTCCGCGATGATCACTGGAATGCAGCCGAAGATCACTCCCTCCACGAGTCGGGGGCTCCAGGGAGCCCAGCCCAGTGGACACAGGCAGAAGATAGCTCGCTGCATGTCCTCATAGTACGTAATCGGGTGCTCGGTAGAGATGTCAAAGAGAGGATTATCCTTGAAATTCTCCCAAACAGCAGCACGAGCACCCCTGCATGAGCAGAAAATGTCAGAACGGAATAAGATCTTTTCAAACAAAGCTTTTCTATGTATTGAGAGAACTTTACCTTGCGTAGTAGCCTCCTTCCGGATCGTTGCCGTAGTCATAGAAAAGACCCCGAAAGTAGACGAAGATAGAGCGCGGTATGCTCGGTGGGATGAGATGGGCCTGCATCTTTTGTGGAGGGCAGTAAGGAGGTACCACAATGGAGCCCTCCTTCAAGCAGACATGATACCTCTGCCCGAAAGTTTGGACTAAAGTAGCGCGCTGCAACAAGTGAAGAATTCCGCGCTCGATCGCTTTTTCCTCCTAAAATTTCAAAGAAAAAAGAAAAAGCCAAAAAGAAGAGTGACGCGAGTTAGTAGACTTAAAGCAAAAGAAAGATGTATAGAAAATTCAAACCAACCTGGTAGTGAAAGCAAGCTCCAAAGTCGTGAGGAACAACGAAAAAATGATCAGCACCCTCCGTCCGGTTCCAGTAAGGCCACTGATTCGAAATGTATTGGATCACACTTCGCATCATCCTGGGAGACTTGAAAGGCAGCGGCAATCCATTCGGTGTCAAATCGCAGGTAGTGTAGACTGGAGTATAGAACCAGTCTGCTTCCTCAGGATTGAGAGTGCGCACAGCACTGCCTAGAAGAAATTCGTGAACGAAAATCTCGGTCGCAAACATGTGAGTGAGGCAGCGAGGATCCTTTTCCAAAACTTTTCTATTGTACTTGACTGGGAGCTCGTAGACGAAGACCTTGAGCCTGCCGACGGGATCGTCCTCTAAAACATCGCCAGCGCTGCCTGTAGAGTGGAAATCCGAGAAGCGTCGATCAGCGCCAGAGCAAGAAGCCAAGAAATGGGAATAATATTGCGCGACAAACCCTACATTCTTGCCAGATCCAACCCACCTGAAATTCTCTCGTGCTGCTGCTGCTGCTCCGCGGATGCGCACAGCGCCAGCCCCAGCGCCAGAGCGATCCAGGCAGCTCCCATCCCGAAATCGCCAAGAACAGAGACAACGCGGAGAGGGAGAGGGAGAGAGAGATCAGCCCCGCATTGCGCTGCGCCGTAGCGCCCGCGTCTAGCTCGCTGGCGGCCTTGACCGCGCTGCTCGCTCCATCCCGCCCTAGGATCCCTCTCCTCGCTCAATCGCGCGTTGTTTCTTGGTCGCCATTGCCAGTGGTAGCTAATTCATTCTTTTTCTTTACCTAAAGCCAAACAAAAAAGATGGTGAGTGTGAATGCGACCGGGCGTTTGTTAGCTTGTTGGGTGCTAGCGTGGACATGCCACCACCCTCCACGTCGGATACCGTGATGCTGACTCAGCACCGGCTCACTACAACCACCACTAAAGGCACGGAAATCTCGAGGGGTCCACTCTAGAGAACGCTTCTCTTGAAGCTACCTCTTTTTGACACCGCAACCACTGCCAGATGTTAGATGGCACCAACGCCATTTTAAAGCTCATCAAATAACTTCTATGCTCCAAAGAATCTCGCCATGGATTTTTATGACCGAATTCTTGTCGTGGATGTTGTCATGGCATTAGATCGATCAAAGGTGCCAAATAGATTGATCCACCCAAGTGACAAAAAGAAAAAAAAAAGCCAAAAATGATCTCTGGATCATTTTCATAGCTTGCCCATAAGGATAACTGGCTCTCGTTGAAGAACTTCACAGCTTGTTCCTTGGAAAAGAAGAAAAGCAAACGAAAGAAGGCTCGGCTCGCTTGAATTGGCAAAATTAAGCAACCGGGAGCTAAACTTTGAAGCTCCACAATGACCAAACTTGACATTGTTATGCATTCAAGATAGTAGATCCAGAAACGTGCGAGGTTATTGCAGTTCTTGGCAGAGTAATCCACGTCCACCGTGACTACATTCCAATGCTGGCCCGTGCTGCCTTTGATCACCATGTCCGTTGGTGAATTACCAGCCCTTGTCCGAGAGCAGCACATTGTAAGAACCAAGAAGACGAACTCGTTGGGCAAAACCCTCTCGAGATGAATCTATGTGGGATGTATGTCTTTCATCGACATGATCCATTCCATGAAAGATTTAGAGAACCTCCAAGGGATGCCCATTCCTGGGCATATGCTAAGATCATCATCATCCAATATGGTGATCCAGAATTCGCTAGTGAGCATATATATCAGTTCTAGCAGCATTTGCCAAGAAAGGCTCATACCCACAATCTGGATTATTCTGGGATTGTACTGTTCTGCATAAGACCAAGTACATTAATTTCCAGTAGCTGAATTAATCCAAAAGGCACTGCTAAACATAAATGCAAAACGAGGCAGAATTTCACAAGCTAGAGATGTATTTAACAGGATGAGCTGCAGAGATAATATCAGTTGGATCACTTTTAGCTTTAAGCTTACGAGAAGGCCCAGTTCTGGCACACCAGGAAGCTCTCCAACCCTCAAACTTTATAAAGGTGACTAGCCAGATAGCTTGCATTCTTGAGACATGTGAGACTTGAAGCGTGGTCCAAGTCCTAAAAAGGGAGCAAAAGGTGTGTTAAGTGGGAGTGGCCAAGGTGAAAGCCCAACAAACATAACACACTTAAACCAAAAATGTTGACTTTTGAACCATCACATCCCAATGGGAAGTAAAACATCTAAAGTATCATACATAACATTAGATATGATATGTCAAAAGGTAACACATAGTTTGGGAGGTATTAGTAAGACAAAGGAAGGTTCTACTTCACATATATAATGAGTGATGCTAAGAGTTTGAAAGCTAAAAGTGAATATAGATGAATAAATGATGTAAAAACTTCTTACAGCAATACAGCAATGCAATTCCTTAACTTGTCTCTTTCTCTTTATTTTTTCTTTGCAGAAGTCTGGCTTTCTATAATTCCAACATATCATTCTTCTTGAGAGTTACAGACGTAAAACAAGTTGGAAATCAAAGAATTTTGATGAGATCTTCAACTTGATCAAGGTTGCCAATTCTTCCTAGCAAATTCAACATGCAAAAAACTACTCCATGCAAGGGTGTGGACTTTAAGAGATTAGTATGATAAAGGAATGTTATACTATCAGTGCTCTGACAATAACGACGACTCTGGCGAGCCCCCAGATCCATGCCTTAAAGTTTACTTAGACTTCTGCAAAGATATTCTATAAAAAAGTGACAGTTGAAGAATTGCATTACTAGCCTTCTACAATTCCAGCATGTCATTCTTCTCAAAAGCTACAGACATAAACCAAGTTGGACATCAAATAAGATCCATTTTTTTTCCATGGATAAGATCACTTGATCGAGGTGGCCAATTCTTCTGATCCAGTATGTAAAAAAACTACTCCTTGCAAGGACAGAGCCCAAAATAGGACAAAAAGGAGCTTCAACCAAGATTAATGTGATTACGCTCAATCAATGTCTACTAAGAGACTATTCACTTTTGGAAAGAACTCTCCCTCTATGTTGTATATGCTTTTTTATTGTTTTGTAGAAATATCCCGGTTGGGTTGTGCATGCTACGGTAATATAAGGGACATGTGGAGGGTTAGGGAGCAAGTTTGAATACCTAGCTTCATATCTATCTAAGAACTAAGAAATCATAAATATAAATAACTTGAAAAAATATACTATAATTTTACACATAAAATATGATTATTTGTTTTTGTATCCCACCATATAATAGATTTTTCAAGATATGGTACATAAGATACTAAGTTACAATCATCTTGTAATTGAAGGTTGGTAAATAAAAAGCAATTAGGCGTTTCAAAGCAGTATTTGTTAATAGACCAAATTACTAAATTATTTTGAGTATATAATACAATATTACCATCTTTTTGAACTATTAAATAACATAGACCATAATAAGCTATAGTATGTGATGAATTCCATAATAAATTTCTCTCAGAATACAAAGAAATCTGGCAATTTGATTCTAATAATAATACATTTTTTCCATTTGGAGATACTAAAAATTGACCTGTATAGATTATGTTATTTTGAAATGCAGAATTTAAAGATGTTAAGATTTTATCACAATTATTACTTGAAGATAAAAATGAATTTGAATACATATCATAAAATCTCCTAGCAATGAAAATAGAATATTGAATTTGATACTTACGAGCATTAATTATACACTTTGTAGAGCGTGCAATAATTATATCTTCTACATATACTCTAAATAGATCCTTAAAATTTGTTCTTAACATATTTCCATTTACTTCATTTGGAGATTCCATAATACAATTTGGGGGAGAATTATTTCTTCTTTTTAGTTGTATAATCATAACCCCTCTATCAAAGCTAAATTGTACTGACCTTTCATAATTTGCTGGATATTTAGCATATTTACCTGTTTTAATCTCTCTTGTAAGTAAATCAAAATTATTTATAATCATTCCAACCTCATTATCATTTAATGTATCATTAAGACCCCAACTAATTTCTGATGATGGTGCAGATTCAACAAAATAAAAAACAAGAAAATAAAAAGATAAGAATTTATATATTTTCATGTTTTTTCAGTTAAATAAACCAATTATTTTTAAAAAAATTTATAATGAAAATAAAATAAAATATATAAATAAATTATTTTATTTTTAAATAATTAATAATTTTATCGAAACTAAAATCGTCATAACAGATATGACAATTTAAATTTCATTCCATACCTTTTTATACTAATATTTGATAAACCATAAAACATAAAATGTTAAAAAACCAATCTTATTTCTAGAAGGGCTTTAGCCTCTTCTAAGAAAGGGTTGATTAAAATTTAAGTATATTATAATTTTGTTTTAAAATTTAGTAGCACTAGCAAAGAATCTAGCTATGCTGACCTAAATAAAATAAATGTGTTTTTGGGATGAATTTCCATCTTATAGATATATTTAATAAAAACACATATAAATTAAAAGAAAGAGAATTCACCTCTGCTCTATAGAAAATATTTTTATCAGAAAAGATTACCTAATTTTACTATAGTTCAATGTGCAAAAAAATAGTTTAATAATAATTATATGAAGCCAAAAAATTGTACTTGATATCACTTTACACTTTTATAAATATTTTATTAATTATAATAATTTTTTTGTTCTATCATGCAAGCTAAACAGTACTTAACTTTAGATTGATTAGTAAGAAGAAATAGAATTTGACTTATGGGACAATTTATGTTATACAGTAATAAAAAAATGAAATATTGATAATTTTGTATAATATCCAGGCCATGATATTTGTCAAACATGTAACACTTTTTAACACTCACACTCCACATACTAGCCCCAATGTTTTCATTAACCAATGTCAATAGGAAAGAAGCTTTCTACTTTAGATGGAGTGCCACACATAGGATAGAAATTGCATCCAATTCAAGAAAATGAAACAAAAGTGTCCAATATAGATGAGGATGTCTATCTCTCACTATCTAAACTTCTTGCTAAATATAACAAGTAAAATTGTAAATTCAAATTATAATTTAGTGAGGTGTGTCTATAAAAGTCATTGCTAATTCTTATCAATGCTCTGGACTGTAACCTGGTAAACTCAATATTACTTTGTGCTACCAGAGAGAATCCAAATACTAACCAGGACCTATGTTGCATCTTGCAATATTACAGTAGGGTAAAAGTGTCATGGCATCCTTGCATTCTATTCAAGAGTATCACAGAGGGCAATCTTTGATTGAAGCCGCTAATTCAATAGACATTTCATTTTGTGGCAAAAGCTAGGTTCTGAAGAGCCAGAGAGCTTGCTCCAGCAACTTTTCCACAAAAAGAACTCTCACACACCACTTTAATATTCTAAATTTTCTAATTAGGCAAATGTTAAATAAGTAGAGCATTTAAGTAAGAAATTTTTTTTGTGTTAATGAATTCTTCTAAATCACCTCCAAAGAGCTTTATGGTTTTAGAAAACATATACATATTTTGCATTTTGAGCATATGTACTTCTGTCATGCTGCACTCTAGAATTAATTAGGAGAAGCAAGTTTCTAATTCTGATTATAACTGTGTGATACAGAAAGCTTATGTTGTTCCAAGGAATAAGGTTAATGCAATGGATCAACAACAATCTGGCATAGTGTGTGATCACACTGCTCCAACTCCCAATACCATTTGTGGCACTCATCACTTTACTATGGGTTCCTATCGACTTCACACTTGCAGTGCTCACCTCCCACTGCCCTAAAAGTACATGGGAACTTAACCTACAATAAAGTGGGGTT